TTGAGCATTTTCGCTGACAGGTTGCGTGAGGCCAATAGAGAATGAGGGGCCCGGGAATGAAAGACCAGTTGCAAACGTTTCCTACCGATTAAAAAATCTCCAATTGTCAAGAAAACCCATTATTGTCGACAAAAACATCCAAACGAAGGAGGAAGACAAATAAACCACCTGATTTGCTTTGTCGGTTTCGGAGGGAGACTCCTTGCTGCTCTCATTGGAGTCAACATTGGGAGGATTTGGTGGTTCAACCTGTACGGTGGTATTAAAAATTGTAATGAACAAAGCGGTGTATATAACTGTTATTACTTGCTACGTAGTGATTGTGTATATGCACGAAAGTTAATTAGTTGGATAATAAATTTATAACTTTCCATCTAACTTTGTTAGCCATGTAACTTCGCCAAAAACATAGACTCATTCTTACCGTGTCTTTCTCTGCAGTTTCTCGGTTTAAAAAGGCCTCCTCTCCATCCCCACCCCCGCGGCTACCGTCCGATCCGTCGTTGGCGGTATACGCTTCATTTGACTCCTGGAAAAAAAAAAAGAATGGTTGCTCGGGTTCGACAAGTTCAACGACAAAGACATGTAACTTACATCGCGTGCATGTGTTGTCTCCTTGTTTGCAAACCGGAGAGCTTCTTCGATTATTTCAGACGCAGCAAATGAGGATGACGGTCCCCCAGCACGAGTCTCTTTCACGATGTTGACATGTTCAGCACGAATAGGTTCTTCAACGTGAGGACGGGTGCAAGACTTGGTGATCAAGTCTGTAATTTCCTTCACTGATCTTCTGAAAAGGTCTTCAAACTTCACCTCAAACTGTTCTTGCGAGTTTCTTAGGGACATACCAATGTCTTTTATTTGGTCGCCGATGATGGAAATATTTGCAGATAACTTGCTTGCCACAATAGAAGCAACATACTCTGCATTTATCCCTTCGGTAACAGGTTGTTTCTGACGTAGCGTCGCTTCTTTGCGGGTTTTCATTGCTTTGGCTGCTTCATCACGCATACGGCAAACATCAGCTTTGGTTGCGCCACCTTCGAAATTTGAATTCGAAAATTGGAATCCTTCCCCAACTGCTCTAACCATATTATCAACAAGAATGTCTTCCTCGTCGTCGCACCTAAGAGGTGGCTCCCAATTGGTTAATTCTACGCCATCAGTTATGATGGATACGACTTTTACCTATAAATAGCCAAGAAACAGAAAAGATCAATAAATGTGATTTATCCTGCAAACACATTTTGTAGACGGCTCATGTCTTATTTGTCATGCTAATATGTAACCGCATCTACTACTCAAACGAATGCTATATATAGATAACATGAACCATTGAACAATGAAAGATACATAATTAGTAAAGAGAAACAAACCTTGCAAGCAGAATCAATAGAACGTATGTGCCCTGTGTTGATGCTTTTTTGCCTTCCCTGTCAACAAGTACCGACTCTTCTTCGTCTTCCGAGTCTCGTTCTGATCCAGAGGATTCTCCTTCTTTCACCACTCCCGATAAAGACGGGACAGCTTCTAACAAAACAAGCTGGATTGCCATAACAAACCCTTTAAATGCAATCGTGTTTTGTGATAGAGATACTTCATCTCTCTCTTTGATGCTGCTCATCAACAACTCGAAAGAAGCGCGTCCCCACGGGTAAGCCAGGAATTCATCAGTATCCCTGATTTTCTCAGCCGCTGAATGTAAAATACGTGGTTTGTGAGATGTAGGGAGGACTACGGCGGACAGCAAGGCGAGAAGAGCATACTTTATCCTCATTCCTCTTTCGGTAACCGTCTTATTTTTGAGCATAGAAATGACAGAATTAACCGGGACTTCCGTCAGAGTACCAAAAAGGACACCCCAATACGGCGTTTCCGAAAGGAACTTCTTGCTTCTTTTCTTTGTCTGCGGTGGGTATCGACGACAATTGAGACCAGTGACTAGTGCGAATTCCTTAATTGAGAATCTAATCGGGCTTCCTGCAAATAGGAACCACGCTTCATGCTTCTTGCGAGTCTTCAATAGGCGAGAGAACAGGAATCGGCCCACGCGCCCCGAGAATGAAGGTTTCGCGGCGATTTCTATGAGTTTCCCAAAAGAAGATTGCTTTATGAACGCAACTTCTTCTTCATCTAAAGCGTTGAGAATCTTAGAGATACAAGAGGGTTTATGATATGGTGTTACCCTAATGCCCATAGGTTCCTCTCCCAAAGCAAACATTCTAGCGGGGAATTGGGGTGGAGGATGGTCGCCGGCAGTTGACTCCATTTTTGGTAAGATTTAAGGTAAACGACACTTTGAGATCGAAAAGGAAAAGATGGAGATGTCTCTGGTTTATACTACAGAAACGGACACTTTATAAAGTGTTGGAAGGGTTCTGTCTTTAGGATGCCTCGATCGAACCGTTTTGACACATGTAACGGTTTGATAAAAAGGATGGATAACGATAAAAACAAGAGGAGAGAATTGGTGATCGATACAAACGAAGTTTTCAAGTGTATAGGGGTAATATGGTAAAGAGACAAGAAGAGGATGTCACAAAACGACAAGGAAATGGTAGATCGCTAAATAGCGTGTTTTGCTTGTGTGTGATATGCAATTTCTCTTTTTTTTTTTTACTTTCTCATTGTTTTGGATTTTTAAGTATTTTGTATAGAGAATATCTTTCTTTTGTTATGCAATTTATTTAATTCATTTTTCCCTTTTATTTTAAAACATTATTTAACATAGGTCTGGGCGTTCGGTGTTCCATTCGGTATGGTCCGGGTGATTCGGATTTTCGCTGTTAAGCTCAGAAGTCCCATTCGGGTTTTACTAATTATCAGATCGGGTTCGGTTCGGTTCCTTCTGGGCTTGGTTTAAATCGGATATAACCAATGTTTAAAATCGTCCAAGTTTTTATTTTTTAAACCTTAAAAATTGACAAAATTATTTTTCAAAAGATATAAGTTATTTATAAATCTAATTAAAAATTAGTTAAACTATCAAAATTAACTAAAAATATCAAAATAACATATAAAATAAACTAAAAAATATTTTGAATACTCTAAAATATCTAAATCGCCTTACCATATATAAAAATATTAACATATTTAGCTAATTTCGGATATCTTCGGATCCTAATTTGGATTTCGCTTCGGTTCAGATTATAACCAAAATCCAAAGTACTAAGCTCATAAGTCCCGTTCGGATATTTCTGTATAAGGGTTCAGATTCGGTTTCGGTTTTTCCGGTTCGGATTTAGGTAGGTATTTCGGATTCGGATAAAAACACCCAGGCCTAATTTAACACCTAATTTTTAAATACCTCCAGTATTATACTTTTTGTTTCAAATATAATTTCTTCTAAACATTAAAACAGGTTAATAGTTAACACTACAAATACTTTTAATTAATAGTAATAAATTATAATTATAATTTTTTAATTATGACCCCAGTAAAATTATTTTCTGGTTCTGCCACTGTATGCATGCATGCATATAGCATTTTCTTTATGAGGAAGTTGAAGTTTATAGTGTTGCCAACATCTAGCATTGTAATGTATTATCATAGCCATATAAGAAGGAAATTACGATGACTATATATATGAATATGACATTTTAAGACATCATAGTAGGGATTAATGTGTGTGTAACCAAATCAACATGCCTACTACGGTAACTTATCCTAATACGATGACTATATATATGAATATGACATTTTAAGACATCATAGTAGGGATTAATGTGTGTGTAACCAAATCAACATGCCTACTACGGTAACTTATCCTAATACGATCATTAAAACAAACATATAATCTAATCACGAATATCGTGAGTAATTTACTTCAATATATTCAGAAAGAAAAATGAATTAGTTAGTTCAACGTAAAAATGTAACGGTTTGATATCGACATATAACCAAATAAAAACATGGAAAAAAACAGAAACAAAAAATAATACATCTAATCTATTAATTTAGGATCCTATTTGAATTTTATCATGGCATATTTTTAATTTGGACTTATTAAATATGTTGTGACCAAACAACTTAAATTAAACCAAACTATAATTATATCATCATTAATAACTTCTGTATTTATATACTTACATTTACGTTACACTGATTAACCCTATAAAATTAAAACAAGATTCTACGACATAAAAATTGCTCATCATAATGATTGAAGGATTATCTAGGTTTTCTTTTTGGACTGAAGGATTACCTAGGTTTAGTTTTTCATTTTCTGGGTTTTTGATCATCAAAATCTGTGTTCTCTCTATTTGATTCAGAAAATAAATATTTTGATTCCTGGTGTTTGATTATTAGTTGTTGATAATCAAATGCATGATCTATGTTCAGAGATTGATTAATTTAAGTCTGGGAAACAAAAAGTTGCTGATTTGGTTTTAGGTTCCAAGAACAGATGTCGGATATACTCTCGGGCCTCCATGTCCTTTCTTATATAATTGGTGCGATCTAATATTTTAACAAGCTTCAGTTTTGATTAATTTGTGTTTTTATTTTTTCACAAAGAAGGTATGGTGAAGGAGAATGAGCAATATGACATATTAACCGTCAAAACTGATGCCGCTGGAACTGACATTAAAAAGGCAACTCATCACCTTCTTCTTTCTTTTGTATCATCAAATCCTTATGGAATATGAGTAAAGAAATTTTTATTTCTTTCCTGCTTTGATTCTGTCTCAGGCAAGGACAAATCATTCAGACAAACACTGTGGAGATTCTCAAGCTGTTAAAAACTTTCAGGTGATGATTAGGTGATTTTGTTCACGTTGCGACTATTTCTTTTGGGTTTGGTTTGTTGTTTACTGGAACCTTCATGATGTAAAAGCTCTGTTTTTTATTTGGTTCAAGGTGATAGAATTATTCCTTGCGATTAAACATAATACTCACATTTTTTTTGAGATTGAAAAAGGATCGAAACTAAATGTAGCAATCAATTACGGTCCGTACTTACTCGAGGTGATACTAATACTAACACTTTCATACTGCTCTCAATGGGACTAGGAAGAAAGATCCCAAGAAGTTTCTCCATGAAGACTTGGATAAGTAGTACTGCTAAGTTAACTCTCCAAGTTCTTGGAACTGATCTTAATGGTGGATGCATGAATCCAGCAGTGGTATGAACCCACACACACACACAAAATGGAGTTTTTGTGATTGATTTTGAAACCAAAGCTGATGAATATCTTTATCTATTTAATGGCAGTTTTGCTTGGAATGATACTTTTGCAGGTTATGAGATGGGCTTATGCCGCGGTGAACATACAACAACATAGCATTTACTTGTGTCATTGCTTGGACCTGTGATGGCTAGCTGTTTGTTTTTTCAATGTTGTGTTTAAAGCTCTGACCGAAGAACAAGAGAAATCTAATGCTAAATTATTTGAATGAGTAATGAGTTTAAGCTCTCACATGTTCTCTTTTTTGATACATCTCCTTAACACAGCACACAAAATGTGAGATTATTTCTTATCAGATTTGTAGTGTGTTTTTTATGTAGCTAACTCAATTGTATCAATAAATTCATTAAATGTGAATTTGGTAAAACCATTGTACTTATGTGATTGATTGATGCGAAAAAAGTATTTTGTTTATTGCAATAAAAACGATTTTACTCAGTTATCATTATTTAATTTGGTGCGTGTTCTTTTGATATTTTTGATCATCAATCTCCTTTCACTTATCAAATATTTGTGGATGATGAAATAAAATATTTGAAGAAAAGTAAATTGATTTTGTAAAGTACTATATATATATATATATTTATCCAAAGAGAGTATAGGTAATAAACACCGTGTAAAAAAAAAAAGCAGTCTATTTTAAATGCAATCATAATTTTTTTTTTAAAAACACGATCAAAACAATTAAAAACTATTTTAAATATAATACATAAACTTAAAAAATTTCCGCGCATCCGCGCAGGTAGAGTTCTAGTTTATCTATTTATATGTGAGGTCTAAACACCAAACTATGTAATATTTTTATAGATTACACATTATAGAAGATCGAGGTTTTAATCATCAGAAAAAATGATTTAATAAACAATTATATAGATTACAAAAAAATACTTACAACGATCTGTAACATAGTGCAAGTAAATCCGGTCAAGCGTAGATTTTGATACGATCATTAAAACAAACATATAATCACAAATATTGTGAATAATTTAGTTCAATAATATATTCAAGAATAAAAATGAATAAGTCAAGTGTAAAAATGTAATTGTTTGATATCGACATATAACCAAACCAAAACAGGAAAAAAAAAACTGAAACAAAAGAATAATACATTTAGATCTGACACTTGAACACCAAACTATGTAAATTTTTACAGATTGCACATTATAAGAGATCAAGGTTTTAATTTCCAAAAAACTTGATTTAATAAACAATTATATAGATTACGAAAGAAAAGCTTACGAGGGATCTTCAACATAGTGTAAGTAAATTCGGTCAAACATAGATCTTCATAGAACAGTTAAGCGAAGATCTTCATAAGATATAATATTATCGGTTATTAAATAATCTATGTAATCTTATCATAATTGTACTATCATAATAAAACAATATTAAGAAAAATACATCATTACGTAGATTTTACAGGTTTTATTTTACATATTAAAATTAAATAATTGTAGTGTCTTTTTTTGTGAATCAGATTTCATTTAAATAATTAGGTTTAGTACATTAGCGAAAGAACCTGCTTGGCAAGAGAGTCTTCCCTAACATTGACCATTCTAGGGATAAACTTAATAGCAATAAATAGAGGAGAAAGTAAATTGATGTCGTTGAGAAGTCCTGCAATCTCTAATTGTCTTCCATGCGAATTCACCAACTTTATTAGCTCTAAATGTCTTCCTAAGATTGGTAGCAGAGATCATGGCCTTGCGCAGGGCCAAAGTTTCCGCAATGAAAGACGACGTCACTGAAGAGGAGGTCGCTGAATGAGATGAGGATGAACCTGCATCATCGATGATCCAACCAAGACCAGGACATTCTGAAGAGGGATTCCAAGCAGCATCAGTGAACATGCATACCCGAAGAAATGTAGTGTCTTGTTCTTAATATATACCTTTATTCAAAAAAAGAATATATATATATATATACCTGAAAGAAACTGAGTTCGGAATTAGATAAGATATCATCATCACATAATCAAGTAAACAACTTTTGTCTTGAGTTTTCAAACAAAATACTGTTTGTGTTTCACAGTAACATCACAAACACAACATAGACCGAAAGGAAACAGATTATTTTTTCAAGCAAGAGGCAAAAGTGTCGCCTGAAAAGGAAACAGATTATTTTTCAAGTACACAAATCTCAAACAAAGGACCAATTGATGAACACAAAGCAGATACAGTGAGCAGTCTCTTCTTCATTGAGTACTTTCCAAGCAACTGCTCTCTCGTATGAAACTGGTCTCCCCATGCTTGACAGACATATCCCACCCTGAAGACTTGCAAAACCCTAAACCAAAGTATCCAGTTAAAAGTCAGATAAAACCTAGTCAGACTACACAAATCAGAGCAGAACGTTGTTGAAAACCTGCTGCATGATCTGTGGGAACTCAGAGCAGAGAGTCTTTCTTCCATTGTCATCAAATATCTTCTCCAAAGAGATATCTTGAAGAGCAACCAATGTTGTCTCCAGCATGTCAAGCCCCGCTTGGTTTGCAAATGTGAAGACAGGCATGGCCTAACAATAATTCAAATCCAAAATGTTAAAGAGGATCAGTGAATAAAACATTCATGTGTTTAATGTTTAAGTTAGTACCTTCATTGAGCAGCAGATTATAGCATCTGTATGATGCCAAAGGTTCTTGAGAATAGATTCATTGCCTTCGCTGTTTGATTTAAGTAGCTCAACGCCCATGTAGCACCTATTATCAACAGAAAAACATGAATCATCCAAGTTGATTTGGTGTAAAACTTGGATCATATATATTACCTGTAACTCTGGCAGATCCAACGAGCAAGTGTTTGGGCTTCAGGAGTACCCAAAGGAGTGCGTAGACCGACTTGTGAACTGATATGAGAAGGAGAGAGAGCCAATGCAACTCTCTGAACAGATGATATGATACCTCGAACATACTGCCTAGCCATGGATGCTACATGTTCTTGCATATGGCTCTCAATACCAAACTCAAATGCTATTGTCATCACAGATCTTGCACATGTGGAGTTTCCTGATTGATCAGTTGAGGCTTTTGTTGTTCCGGCTGAACCAATCTCCAGTGCTGAAGCAAGATCCAAGGTTCGGTTTGGACTTGATATTTCCTGCTTTTTGGTTTAAGAAAAGCTTTGAGAGTCTGAAATTCTTTTATGGTAAAATATTATATGTTCTAACCTTTGTGGAGTCGAGAGGAATGATACGAAAACCAGAAGGAAGCAGAGGCGCATCATCAGCAAAAGAAGCATCAATTGGAGCAAATATAAGTTCAGCACATGTTCCAACAGCATTTTCATCCATACCGCTACAGAGCTGATCACAAGACGAATGTATAATCAGTAATCCACGTTTAAACTGATGCAGACAAGACAATTTAAAATACTTACTTGTAAGAGGAAGATATCTCTTGGAACGATTGCATCTTCAGGGGAGTGTCCAAGACCTTCTAGTTTGATGACTTCCATTGACTAATAACAGAAAAAACACCAACCATTACTTCAACTTAAATGAAAAAAGAGCAAGCAAACAAGGGTGTACAGAAGAGACTTGAACAGACCTCTTCATGCTCAATAGTATGAGCAAGTGGAAGTATAACTTGTCCTCCGAATCCTCCAACTCGGGCACTACAAGGCCCCACTTTAACAGCTGCTGCCAAATATGCATCAATGTTGTTGTCAGCCCATTCTGATCTGTGCTCTCTCAGAAACCGAAGCAGGATCGCCGGAGGAACATTCTAAAGTCGCAAAACCCAAAAACAAAAGAGTAAGAAGAAGTGCTGAAGAAGTATAAAACTGATCTATAACATAAAATGGTGCACGGACCTGTAAAAGCATGGAGGCTTTTGCGCATAAAACAACACTGCTAACAGGAGCAAAGCCATTTGAAAATGTAAGGTTCAAACCCATGAGCTTGTCTGGAGAAGAGTTCACAGTGATTGTGACATCATCCATGCTATCTCCTATCACCGACCATCCTTCATCAGTGAAACCATTAACTGCCTCATTGAAGCCTCTGGAGGAAGTAAAAAAATTTATTAGACAAGCAAATACTAAATCCTCAACTTGAAACTCGAAGACAAATAGTTAAGCATATCAAACCTGCTTAGCCTTTGACTCAAAGCTCGTAAGGCAGCAGGTCGCCGTCCCCAGCCATTGACGCTACTGTTGGTCTGAGACACCTCTTGAGCTATTTGTTTCAGCTGGCGCAGCGCCTTTGAAAAAAATGTATACATACATCAGTAAGGACAATAATTTAAAACATTAAGAAAAAAACTTTAAGTTCACTTACTGCCATTGTTGTCTTCTGTGCAAGTACTTTTGGAGACTCGTAGAGCGGCCGCAAGACCTCAGGCACACTGCAAGCCTTTTTAACAGAACAAGTATCAGTCAGGCTAACAGTCACCGTAGCATTGAGTAGTGTAGACATTGAAGCAGAGTGAAGACTGTTACCTCCAAATCCATATGATCAACAATGTGTATGATCGAGCCACCACCATCACAAGGCCGTATCAAGTACCCACTGGGGAGCATCTCTGCTCTAACAAAATGTTGAACCAGTGGCATACTAGGACCGTTTTGAGTGCTCTTAAGAGATCTCTCGCACACCACAAGGCTGCCATCTTCTAGAACAGAAGTATAACGCAACAGCCAGAAGTCACGTGGTGGAGCCAACGTAGTTGGTGCATAGAGCTGCAAGATCAAGAGAATAATGGTCACTACTTTCAACTATTTGAAAATAGTTTTCATTTTAGGCACATATTATGTGAATGTACTAACCTGCATATAAAGCAGCTCAATGGTTCCACCATTGGCTGTTGGCAACACATTCATAACATCAACAGCTCGGCATTCGCGAAACCACGAAGGCCGATCTTTGACGATCTCTGCGACCTGGAAAAAAAAAGAGAAGCATATCAATCTTGCTGAATATCTACAGGTAGAGTAATAGAAGAGTGCATAAGAATGATTTTATCTACACGTACCCTTGTAGGCTCAAGACCCACTAGGCCACAGGCGCGTGCTGCCACACCAGCGCAACCGTGAGAAATAGAAATGATTCCAATGGAATCCGGACCAGGCTGTTACAGTTATACAAAGCAAACCGTTACAGAGAAGAAGAAGAACAATTCCTTGAAAGAAACTGGATCAAGAGCATACCTTCATTCCAGGCATCTGTACCCACTCAACAGCGGTTCCAGTTGCCTTTGAAAGAAACTCTGCTAAAGTTTCTTCTGCAATGGACAAAAGTCTGCATAACAAAAAAATTGCAAAGTTGTAATGAAAATGTTTAACAAAAAAGATGTAACATATTCCCACTAAAGTACTAACCCTGCAGGACTAGCATCTCTTGGAGGATTATGTGATGCTAATTGGTGCTGACCACTCGTCACAACCGATTCACAGCTTGTGTCTTTAGCTGGAAGTGAAGGCTGGAATGAAAAGATAAAACGAAATCAATATGAAACTCTTTATTTCAAGACAATATTAAAGAAGATAGGATACTCACATTGGGAGTGTGTTGACGGAAGTAGCTGTTTTCATGAACCAGCTGTGACACTTGCTTCTGCAACCTATCATTCTCCTCCATCAACAGCTTGTTCATTGCCGTCAGCTTCCTATTCACAGCTTGAAGCCGTGAAGCCTCTTTCCTTTGCTTCTCTCTGCATCTGAAGTATATAAAAAAATCAACCAAATTAACCTCCATATACAATTCACAAAACTGTAATAAGGAGTGTTATTGCCATTATTACCTTCGGTTCTGAAACCAAACTTTGATCTGTTTAGGCTCAATGTTAGAGAGAATAGGACACTCTCTGATCAACTGCTGACGGCGGATAGAACTGGGTTTAGGACAGTCATGATAAAGCCTCTCAAGCGCTTCAACTTGCTCAGGTGTGTACCTCACATACTTCCCATTGTCCAAACATCCCATCTTACCATCTTTGCAAGACATTGCCATTACTACTCCTTTCTAACAGAACATAACCTTACAAACCTACACAACTTTGTGAAAGGAGACAGAACTTCTTAATCCCACCACCACAAAGCCAGCAAATTTAGTTCCACTACCAAATCTAGATACTCAGTGCCCCTTCCATCTCAACTCCTAAGTTACCTTCAGAATATTATTTCTTAACTCCTAAGTTTCCTTAAATAACTTAGAACACAACAAGACTTATCCTTTTAATGACAAAATACAAAACACAAGAAAAGATTTGTTTTTTTCCCCCCAAAGATTACAACTTTCAGCTTTTTACAAACACCGAAGAAAGATTCGACCTTACACAAAACAGAGACCTCTAAAAACAAGAAAGCTAAAACCTTTTTGTTCTGTTTTCTCGTGGTGGTACAGAGAATCACCGAGTTGACTCAGCCATTAGAAAGCCCAGTTCCCCAGATAACTCGAAAGGAAGCCATATCAGTTAATTCTCAAAACCCATATTCTCCATCTCCGAGCACTCATTGAAAGAAAAAGGTAAAACTTTAATATGAGGAGGTAGAGAAGAAAACCCTAGATATCTAAAGAAAGAGACGAAGAAGAAGACGTAGAGTATGTAGAGAAGGAATCATGAAGCTACTACTGTTGTTATGGTTATCTACTCTCTCTCCTTATTTTTCCTCTGCTTATTCATGGCAACTTTGATTTTTTTTGGCCTTTTTAATATTTAATTATATTTTTTATTTTGAGTAAATGATGATTTGATAGTGGCACACTGCATCAAATGTTTTTTGGTTTGTTTTATTTTTTTCTTTTCAAGTTGCGTTTGTGAATTAACTTTCTCGTTGGCATTCTCTTTTCTCTTTTGCTGATTGGCACATTGCATTGCTCACCACCTCTCTTTTGCTTTGTTTTACCTTACGCCAATTGTCTAAAGTATCCTCTACATATAAAACTGTCAAAATTTCACTCTAGATGATACAGTAGTAAGAAGAGAAAACTATAGTCAACCTTCTATTTAAAAAAAAAAAATAGTAACAATTGGATTGATTTAAATCATTTTTATGTATTAGTATTAAACTTTTAATCTTTCTATAGAGTTTTGACATTTTTGAGATAACAAAACTTAATGGATCAATGATAAAAATATTTTGAATTCTTTAGCTGAATTAATAAAAGAGCATTTGATATATATTAAATTTCATATAATTTCAGCTCAAACCAATCAATGAATAAATTAATTAAAAGGTTTATATATTAATGTTGATATCTTCAAACTTTCGAACTGGATTTTTTAATTAAGTTTTCTCAGTCAAACTAGTTTTCAAAATTGTTGTAGATAAGTTATGCTTAACTATGTTATTAACCATAGGTAATGGTGACATTAATTAGGAAATGAATGATACTTGTAGAGCAAATTGTAGTCAAATCTCGACCAATGACTAGGTGATACGAGGAAATTAGAAGAGTGGCATCAACTGTAATAAAGTGCGGAATGGAGGGGGTAAAGATCAGAGCAGTAATGGGAAATGGTCAGAAGCGTATAAAAATAAGGAAAGGGCGTGGGACTGTGGGAGAGAGGTCTGCGTAGAGATGCAGAGACAACATCATTACCTTCTTTGCATGCGTCTCCGCGTCTTAAAGCGGAAGCTACTTTCTTTCCCTCTTTCTCTTTTTTCTTGTCAACTCCATTTCAAATTTATTAAACTATACTTACTTTACCACTTCTACATTTAATGTCTGTAAAAATGTTGTACAAATTGGTACTATTACTTAGCATAATGTTTAATGGTTCATCATGATGAAAATAATTGTAGTTGTAGTGGTTTCAAGTTTCAACATCTAATGATAAAAAATAATTTATTGTCATTGTATCAAAACGCATAAGTAATTACGTTTTAGAAATCTAGACCCGTTAACTTCAAATCAGGCCTAAAATGTACCCCAGCCCACTACATATCGGAGCTAGTGATGCAAATAGAAGGTCATTTTCATCATTTCGTTTTTGGTTTTGAAATTTTGTCCGGTTTTAGAATATTTTTCTAAGTAGTAATTTGGTTTGATGTTCTTGTAATAGGATAGTTTTAGTGGATTTTACTTAGTCATTGTTTCTTTAGGAACCTTTGAGGTGGAATTATATATAAAATGATTTTGAATCTACCACAAAGAGCTAGTTGATGTTTGGTTTGATGCATAAAGTAGGAGTTACTTCTCTTGGTTAGAGTCTTAAGAGATCATTGTTTGGTACTTCTAATTGATGCATACGTACTTCTCACAAATAAAGGAGGAATCTCTACTTTTTTTGTTTTGTATACGAGGAGATCTATGGACTTTCGGCCCAAATAATCCTTCAGACTCTAGATCAACCGTCATTAACACAATTTCTTGTGTAAAACAAATTGAAATTATCTGGCGGTAGTTACAGCTACAACTCCTTCACCATCAGAACTAATTTGGCATGGTATCTCTGTTGTTTTCAAGATTCTGCTTCTTTCATTTCTCCAAATACATGTCAAATCTGGGAAAACAAAACAAATGTCTTTTCAGAGTTTTGGAAAGAAGTTCATAGCTCCTCCTACTAAAGGCAAGTCATCGCTCATCAGTCTCAACTCTTAAGCAGACCACACTCTCGCGTAAATACTTAACTGATCTACTCTCGCTTAGATTCATTGGCAAAACAACAAGAGACACCGATGGAGAGTAGTGGATCATTGTCTCTATATATGGTCAAGTAAAGTGTATCAAGTTTCTTAATTAATATTCCTTGCTACTCGTATCTTTAAGAACTGATCATAATAAGTTTTTCCAATTCGCCCTCTACGTACGTTTCGATTCGCTGAACCGATCTGATGGCTCAAACAAGTAAGAAAAGTAAAATATAAGATAGAGCTAGAAGAAGTTTTAATCAACTAGCACTACCACGTCAATATTCCGTTGAAAACGACGATGTAGTTTGTTGCATCATCAGCCGTCCAAGGCATCTAGTCGACGTAGTGCTCGGTCGTAGAGCTTAAAAGATTAGCAAGACAATTTAAACATTTAATAATTTTGTTAAAATGGATAACGAATAAATTAGCGACATGCTTACATATTTCCCTGCACGAATGATTCTCTCTCTTGATTACTATTATAGTTTTCATGCTGCATTTGTTGAAAATATGAACCGAATGATTTTGATTAGTTTAATATTTTCCGATCAACTATTAGTTTTTGTTTCCCACCATATTTGATGTTTTGACCTAATTTGTTGAGTAGTGTCTTCCACGTTCCTGTTTAATCTAAAATACACATTAGCCGCATAAGATGAGCAAAGTGGTAACCGTGCCACGAAATCAAAGAACCGAACACAATATAATATCAAAAGTCCCAACGGTCAACAAAAATTACATAAAGAAATAGACTAAAATATAATATAATCAGGAAATAAAAGGTTTTGGTGATCAAAACTCAACGACAAAAAGGAGAGAGTGGGTTAGTTGAATGCCCATTTTGTTCGCATGTCCTGCTCTCTCCTCCACCTTCTTTTTATGCTCACCGAAATTTTCGTCTGCTCAAACCACAAAATACATTATTTATTTATTATTTTTGTATCAAATTTTAAAATTAAAACAAATTTTTTTTTGACACAACAACATTTATTGTTCAACGTATTAAAAAATTAATAAAAAAAAGTTTGGCAACAATCAACAAAATTTTACTCAATTTAATAGTAATTCAGATTATTAAATCTGAAACTAATGGCATTGTTTTATCACATTCTTTTTATAATCTGAAATTGTTTTGTGATTATACGGATTTAAATACTTGAAAATCTCAAATTTTAAACGTGAAACTGAATAAAGTGGTTGGAGATATTAGTGGAATTAATCTTTCTTTTTCGACATTAGTGGAATTAATCCAACGGCAGTTAAGTTTCAATTAAAATATTAATTAATAAGTTAATTAGTTTATCCAAAAACTAATGGAAAAAGACAAGTGTCAATAGTAAAGAGATTCATATATAGAAATTAAGAACCTCGACACAAATGTGTGAAAGCTTTACAAAACAAAAACAGAATTTTCCTTAAAAAAGGTTTTTTTCTCGTTCTTCAGCGAGAGATTAAATCCTTTCTTCTCTCTCTGTATGGAAGAATCTCACGGCATCAATGGCGTCGATGATTCATATCGTCATCTCCCTATTCTCTACTTGACCTTTCTATCGATCTGGTCCCTGTCCGCTTGTTCTTGGACGGTTAATACTTTCAAGAACCGCAATTTCCAGGTCCATTATCATCTCTAAGACTCTAATTTATGTCTCAGTTCTTGATTCAAGATTGAAGAAACACAGTTTGGTTTTGATTATGTGTTGTGTCTTTGTTTTAGAGCAGTCAAATAGTTTACAATGGATTCTTGCTTCAGTTCCTTTGATCAAAGCATTACAGCTAACTCTATCTTTCCTCTTTTGGTAAGTCCTTTTTTTTAAAGCCTTTAGAAAGTTATTACTTACCATAAATGTTCCTTTAAATTAATTGGTTGAACCTGTTTTTGGGTGGGCAGGCATTCATGTTTTCACCACCAAATATGCTCTCTTTGGATGTCTTTTGGTGTATATGTGACTGGTGTCCTGTTTCAGACAGCTTCCTTTGTGTCTTTTTTACTCATCTCTCACGGTTACTGCATCACATGTGAACGGCTCTCGTTGACAGAACGTAGAACCACAGCTTCACTTGGTTGTGTCTTTTATTTGACTCTCGTTGGATACAGAGCTTCTGTTCCTTATTTTGCAGTGAGCTTTTAACCATTTTCACTGTTTTACTTACTTACTTACCAGACGAATGATGATGATGAACTTATCTTTTTCTCTCTTCGTTCCAGGTGCTTCTGATACTTAACTACATGATCTCATTCTATGTCATTTTCCATCATATATCTCAAAACTTATCGGTGTTACGAGAACAGCTGAGTTTCATTGAGGATGAAAATGTTCAAGCTATGCATGATGCCGTCTATGCTAAATATATCATGTTCAAGTACGTTCTTCTCTTGCTTAGTACACTTGGTTTTGTGGTTAATGGAAGTAGATAAACTGCTAACTAAGAGTTCCCTTCATCTTTGTGTGTGTTTTCAGAAAATTTCAAGGAGCTATGCAGATAGTAGCAATGGCAGAAACTGTGGTATGAGCAAGTTTTTATAGATTTAAAATGTTGGATTGCTGCTTATTGTCAACCTTGGCAGATCTATATGAACATGGACAACTCCTCGCAGAACTACTGGCTCAGGCTACTGATTCGAGAGTGGGCTCAGTTTTGCATTTTTCTCTATATTGGGTAACTTATAATCTCAGTTTCTCTCAAGTGCATTTCTCTGTTCTTGCTTTGGTGAAGAACTAAGACAATTCTCCAACCTTGGCAGATGGACTTTCAGGTCTCAGGACATGGCGCCACGGTTCTCAGTCATGCCTACACTAAAACCTAGAGATAATACAATTATCCCTCCAATTTACAGCATGGTAAGTGTCAGTCTCTAAACTTCTTTTGGATTAGATTAAATCTCAGAATCTAATTTTTGCTTTGCTGAATATACAGGAAATGGATGCAAAAACATTTAAAGAATTCAGAAGTCAGGAATGGAACATTGGAGTGGTAAGTCATTTAAGCTTATGCTCTTCTTCCATTGGAACATCATCTAAGCCTGGGCTAAACGTTGTCTGTGTTTGCAGCCAATGCCTTATTCAAACTATGAAAGGCAAAAAGATTCAGTTCTAGTGATAATTCAGCATCCTAGATAGCATTCAAAGACAAAGCAAAATATACAATGTTGCCTCTCTTTTTATTTCTTAGAAAGGGTAAAAGATCACACACACACAGCCAAACAAAGTTTATTTCAGATTAAGACAAGGTGCTTCCTCAGCAACTGCAATGTTCTGTCCTCACAACCTCTGCCTAGCTCATTCTCTCTTTTATTTTTCTGTTTTAGTTTTGTTTCTTGTTGGGTAATATATAGAGAAATAAAGGTATACATTCTTGTATAGATGCCAGAGTTAGCTAGTAGAGCTATAACGTTACTAATGAAAATGTAAAAATAGTTCCCTACATTCTCTTGTTTCTGAATTCTAATTCAAACAAGATTCATAATGTGAGCTACTCAAAGCAAAAGTATTTGTTTTACTTATGCTCACTGTCAAAACTATAGCAGAAACATAGTTTGTTACACCGTAGTCCTGTAAAACAATTAAACAAAACTAACAAAAAGTAGAGAGTTAACCTATTCCACTCTTTGAATAATTATTACAGAGCGTTTTCCTTTAGTTCGTCAACGGCCACATCATCTACATCTTCCTCAATGATCTCATCTTTAAACAGAGTCTTGAAATATGGTAAAACCTTAGGAAGCACTTGCAAATCCGCCACGTTTATGCTCATCAAATCAAAGGCAATGCAAGTGTTATGCATATGAGACTCATCAATCACCGGAATCTTTGGATATCTCTGGCTAAAATGCGTGAGAACAATCCTATACACACCCGCAGAAGATCCCATATCGATTGCTTCTTTAGTCGTGCTATGATTCTTTGCCAAAGCTTCATCTATCAAATCATCTTCAAATGTTGCCTGTAAAAAATGATAAAAGACTGTTAAAATCTCCCTCGTCAGAGTAAACAAAAAGTTCATATAACTTATACCTCGTGTATAAGAACTGTTGCATCTTGTGATGCTTCCACAACCTCAGGACAAGGTCTTGTGTCGCCTGAATAAACCATCTTCCATCCAGGGATACGTTCGCCTACACTGTTTAATCTTTCTGCTGCTTTTATAACAACACCAAAGGCTTGCGGACAGTGAACAACAGGGAAACTAATCAAATCCTCCATGCCTATTTCGCCAAGAACCTTCTTCAGATTCTTCAAACATGGCAGGTCCGTCATAGGACTTTTGAAGACACTCTGCATGGGAATTCCTTTACTAAACAAAGAACCTTCTTCATTGCTCTCTAAAGAATCCCAAGAAGTCTTTGTGGTGCTTCTACAATCAAGAAACTCCATATCTAACTCCTCAAGTCTTTGATACGCATCAAGAAAGTGTTTAAGCGACCTTGGTCCCACCACAATAGCTGGCTCATGAGCCACTCCTTTCAGAAGCTTGCATCTAAGAGCTAGGATTCTCGCAAGACCCGCATGGTGATCGGCGTGGATGTGAGAGATCCATATGCATCTCAGTTTTCTAACAGCCTCATCAGCACCATCTAAACCGTATCTTCTTTTAAGCTGCCCTAAGGTTCCTTCACCACAATCTAGGAGAAGACTCCCTTTGGAGAATAGGTCAATGTAAATGGCACTGACGTTTCTGTATTTTGAAGGCTGAGAAGAGCCAGTTCCTAGCAGAACAATCTCCATGTCGTCTCGTCTAATGTTTTCAAGACAGCTTGGAAGAAGATCAGTGTTGCTCTCTGTCTCACCGTTTGGTCTATTCCAAAACTGCTTGATTTCTTCGGTTTTATCCTTAATCTCAGGAATTTCTGAAAGCAGCTCATCTAGTACTTGTGAGGATGTCAACTCAGGAGGGATACAAGATCTGTCCATCCCAAGAGTAGCATAAGGACGCAAAGTAAACTGTCCACAATAAAGAAAAAAAATCAACAGTGTTGGTCTATTAAGAGACATCAACTTCTAAGATCATAAAGCTAAAGTGTCTGAGAGTGTTTGATACCTTGAGGAGATTTTCAGCAGAAATGCTTTTACCAAGATTTGAATCCTGTTACATCATGTATAGAAAACATCAAATCCTAACACAAATCAAACTTATTTCCACACATTGCGTAAAAAATCGTATGAGAAAAGTATTTAGCAACCTGGTCTGAAGGGGTGGTGGAATCAACTATTGAGTTAGTAACATGTTGAGGAGGCCAAAAGCCAGGAGCAGGAAAGAACTGTGGGCATAAGTAGTTAAGTCTAGCAGCGATTCTTGAACTTGCTTTCAGAACTGGAAACTCCATATTCTTCCTGAACACACCAAACGAAAACATTAGCACCAAGCAATTAACTAAACAGTTTTTGAACAGCAGAAAGAAGAGGAGCGAGCAACCTTTGGTGTCCAGCAAGAATGTGTTGAGCAGAATGAAACCTCTTCATCCAGTTTTGGTAAGTAGGACTACTTGTTACCGAAGATGGACTTAGATGTATAATACAATTTACAACCTTCCCTCCATCGCCGGAACACGAATAGTAACTCTCCAAAGACTTAGCTGATAACAGTTGTGCAACATGCGACTCAGTTGGACAGTCCACAAGTAGAACAATGGGACCAGGAACTGAAGGTCCCATCACATCACTCGGATAAACCTTTAAGACCAAAGCAGGAAAAGTCTTATTATAATTCCATACAATCTGTGCATTAAAAAGACAAGAATAATAGTGTATACCGTAATATCTTTTTCATCTGATCTCACTGATTCTCCACACTGAAGTTTACTATATTTTGGACCAGGCCTCACACCAAAGACTTTCTTGGCCTTCTCTAAGTCAAACTTGCCCATTATCTCAGCTAATTCACATACATATACAACTGAGATCTCACCGGATTTGCTGCAACATTCTTCTTCTTTAGAGCGAGGTGGTTCTAAGGTAATGGCGGATATTTTCACAACTTCATCATCCACAAGAACAGTAGGATCAGGTGTACTCGAGGGACCAAAACTACGTGTGTGAACCATAGCAGCACGTGGAATAAAACACTTCATTGCATCAACAAGTAACTTAAGATCTGAAGGACCCCATACATTCACCTAACGTAACAAAAACAATGAGAAATTTCAGCAACATCATACAAAAATAAACACACAGAGCAGTGTTCTAAAAATCAGTTTAGGCAGCAAATCGGGTACAAAACGTCCGCCTAATCAATAATCCCCTATAAAAGGCTTAGTTACCGCCTAGTGTTTTTTAGACATTGCACACAAGACTTGACAAGAATACTCACCGAAAGCCCTTCTTCACCAATACCAGCCAGAGTTAGTAAAAGACCTATGGCATCAAAACAATAGATTTTTCAAGGACTAATACAATAAAATCTCAAGCAACAAAGCCATAAGTCAAAAGCAAGCACAAACCTGGAAGTCCACCTGCAGTCTCTGAGCAGACACGAGACAAAAACACATGGTCTATCTGTAAGAATTCAGACAACCATCAAATTCATCTCATCACAACACAATCAGAGAGAAACAGAGGAGTCTTAGTGATACATACCTTTGATAGTTTGATCTTATGTTCTGTACAGAAACGTTGCAAGCCCTGAATAGAAAAAAAAAAAAACCAGTAAGAGATCACAAATCATTACAGAACAAAACATATGTGAAAACAGAGTCCTACCTCTCCGGCATTAAAGATAAATCTTTGTTTATCAAAGAAGAGTAGTACAGAAGACGATGTATCTTGTGTATCCATTCCAGTTCCAAGGACCTATTTCAGAAAAAGGATTAATTTTTAAATTTGACACAACAAAACATGATTATTTTTTATTTTTTGAGGAATCTGCAATGTTAACCTGTGCGTAAGCAGTAGTGTTGGGATTGAGTTTGCGTGTTTTACGTTCAAGATTCTTCTTGGTCTTACCTGTTTCGTCAAACCCATCAGCTCTTCTCTTATTGAACTCGAAAGGAGAAGACTTTGCACCGTTCTTGTTCTTCATTGGAGACGAAGCAGAGAAGGGTTTGATGAGAGGAAGAAGGAAAGGAGACGACTTTAAGGGACAAGAGAGGAGGAGAAGTCGTACGCTTCGGTTTAATATCATCTCTGAGGAAAATCTCTCAAAGTTCTTCTCTGTTCCGCAAATAGGGTTTAGGGGCCAAGTCAAAAAAAGTTAATATTTAACATCAATAAATATTTGAACATAATAAATAAGCAACAAGCTTCAGTAGCTCAGTTGGTTAGAGCGTGTGGCTGTTAACCACAAGGTCGGAGGTTCGAACCCTCCTTGAAGCGTCTATCTTTCATTTTTGCCTAAATTTTAACCCTAGTATACTGGTGGACACGGCTCAGGTTGCTGTAGCCTGTAGTGCTATTGGTGGATTCATTCGCGGTTGTTTTGTAATACAATATTGTCGTTGAGATAATTACCCAACAAGAGCAACTATTCGCGGTTGTTTTGTAATTCTGCTTATTGTGCAATTCTGAGGTAAATATCTCACGAACATCCATTTATATTGTACAAGTTGACAAGAAAAGAGATATGCAAACAATCACTTGTAACCAAATCAAAATCAATCAAGCGACAGATTTAAGAAGAAATCACTAAAACCAAACTAAAAAAAATTAACAAAACACGAATCATACTCAAAGATCACTTAAGCAGAGATAAGAGGAACACGCTCAGACTCGGTCTCGGGGTTTGACTCGTTAATAAAAGCGTTGGAGTAGATAACTCCAGCAAGTCCACCACCAACAAGTGGACCGACCCAATAGACCCAATGTCCTGAGAAGTCACCAGCCGCAAGAGCTGGTCCAAACGAACGAGCAGGGTTCATGGAACCGCCAGAGAACGGACCAGCGGCGAGGATGTTAGCACCGACGATGAGACCAATAGCAAGTGGTGCGATGGTTCCTAGAGTGCCATTCTTGGGATCAACGGCTGTGGCGTAAACAGTGTAGACCAATGCAAATGTGACTATGATCTCCATCACTACTCCTTCAGCGGATCCTACTCCAGCCGCAACGCTGTGGATTGGAATCGCCTGCGTTATGCACGTTTAAGTGTTAACGTTTGTTAATATAAATATATTCAAGAAACACAAGTTTTCAGAATTATATATGTATGCATGACCGGCTATGAAATTTTGGGACTGTAAAAAGAGTTACATAAATTTTAATAAAATAGGTATGAGTAACGGAACATACCAAACCACCGGTGACAAATTTAAGAAGGAAGCAAGCAACGGTGGAGCCAAGAAGCTGAGCAACCCAGTAGACAATTCCCGTGACGACTTTCAGTTTTCCACCAAGAACAAGGCCAAAAGTGACCGCTGGATTCACATGACCACCGGAGTGGTTAGCTGCGATCGAAACCGCCACAAAGAGAGCAAAACCGTGGCAAACCGCAATCGCCACTAGACCGGACGCGTCAAGAGCCGCATTCTGCGTTAGCTTCCCTATATTATACAAATATAACTGTCACATTCGTTAAGTATTGACTCATAATTATAAAGTAGATCAAATGTTCTGATATGATCAGTGTAACACATCAGTTTGGTTCATCGGTTGGTTACAACTTACAACTATCTATAGGTTGCACATGATGGGGATTGAAAGATAGAGAACGAACCAAAGGCAATGGCTGAGCCTACGCCAGCGAAAACAAAGAGCAATGTGGAGATGAACTCGGCGAGGTAAGCTTTCATAGACACCAACTTAAAGGAGTCTTCACAGGAAAAGTCAAGACCGGCCATTGTTGAAGACTTTTGTATGTAAACTAATGAAGGAGACTAGTTTGCTAATGGAAGCACGAAACACCTTTTGCATGTCCTGGTATATATATATATGGGAGCATATTGCTAAACATCCACGCCTAGTGATTGATAAAGAAAACTACTTTTAACAATATAAGTTATGTAGTGAGTTGGCCATGAGTTTCTAATGATTGGCTTATTGTTTTATTATACAGTATTTTATGTTATCGCCGGTTTCACGTAGCTGTTTTTTTTTTTTTACTTTATTGTTTCACGTAGCTGTTGATAACGACATGAGTGAATGAAAAAAAATACGTATAAATACGTGATAATATTACTCATATAATCGTATGTGAAGCTGTAGATTCTCAACATTTAATCCGGCCTGAAGTCCATTTTTTTCAGGTCAAAACGACCTACTAGAATTAAGCAAAACAAAACTACTTTAACCGTCGATTTTAGGCAAGATATATATTTGGGTCTGGTGGACCCAAGTATAATCGGAGAAGAAAAGTTTTTTTTTTTGGTAACCGAGTATTCTGACCATATCGAAGTGGTATAGACTAGAGATCGAAGCGAGCAAAGACACTGTCAGGATGTCACCATGTGGCTCACCTATAATGATCTTCGGTCTTGGATGCTACAACCCATAAAAATTTTCTGCAGTGGCCAAGATTCGAATCCAGAGAAATTAAAGTTATGAAGATGTAAATGTTGATAGAGCCAAGAACGTAACTGGATAAAAGATGGGAGGGACATACCAGGACAAGTTAGTTCTGGTGGTAAAATGGTTGTATTTGTAACTATCATCATTTGGGTGCGACTTGCACTGAGAGGGATACTTTACGCCGCCAGAAATAGTGTTAGTGCCGGCTGATCCTAGACCTGGATACTACAAGAAAACACATATAAAGCTAGGATGGTTTTTTTTAGTTATTTCGTCGTAAAAGGGGGTTTACGAGGAAATAACGAGGAAACGTAAATCGTCGTGACACGTTCGTCGTAACTCAACTTTCCTCGTTAATTAACGAGGAAAAATTTCCTCGTAAAGTCATCTACATTATTTCATCGTAAAAGCCTCGTAAAGCTTTCCTCGTTAAAGTCACGTAATTAAGACTTTCCTCGTAAAACCCTCGTAATTATTTCCTTGGTAAAGCCACGTAAACTTTCCTTGTAAAAGCCTCGTAATGCTTTTCCTCGTTACTGCCACATAAATTTTCCTCATAAAATCTTTGTAGGTTTACTAGGAATTTACTTGGAAACCTTATTTTTCCTAAATTATAAATAATAATCAAAATATATAAATAAATTATTTTTAAAAACTTAATAAAATAAAATTCAAATAATAGAAGAAAAGTAATATATGCATAAATATTTAACTTTTAAATTTATAATAGAATAAAAAGAAAAAACAAATTACGGGTGTTGCTCGTGCAACTGCCGGACAAAGTCTTCACTCCTCTCTACCTCGTCGTCCTCCTCCTGACGGGTTGGATGTGGCTGTGGCTGTGGCGGTGGGTGTGGAATCCCTAGTTGTTCCCACCTGGCACGCAACATCATCTCCAATTACGGATTTTCAGCCGCCAAAATGTGCAGAAAACCTTTGAGCAAACCCATTTGAGCTTGCGTCGTGCTCAAATCAGAACGCGTCGCGTGCAAATCCAAACGCAGCTGAGCAGTCTCATTGTCCCGTTCCTGAGCACAAGACGATGTCGCTCTTGGGACATCGTTAACGGAACCAATCCCCACAATACGTCCCTTTTTCTTCGGGCGACCTGTAAATAAAAGATTAATTTAGTTAATGAAAAAAACATAAATCAAATGAATAATAATAATAAGAAAACAAATGTACCTCCTCGAAAATCCGATCCACGTCAAATGTGGATAATATGATGGGTGTCCCATCGGGAGCCTGCTGACTCAGCTGGGTTTGGCGCTCCTCAACCCGAGAAATAACCTCATTGTAGATTCGCTCAGACCGAGGATGTACGAATTGTCCAGCCTTGTTCTTGTGAGTCCTCTCATAAAGCTCTTTGAGAGATGGAAGAACTCCTGTCTCTTTAGCCTAAAAATATTTTTTAAAAATTAATTAAAAATAGATATATATATATATATATATATATATATATATATATATATATATATTAAAGAAATTAGTTATTGAAAATTTTACCATATCTAGACGAACTCCGGCGTAAGGTTTTTGACCTAAACCGTGGAGCATCTTCGTGTTGCCATACTCATCTTTGGTCAAACGGTTAGCGGAGCAATTGTTGGAGGTTTTGATCGACTCTGGCTGGTTCCAATAATGGATGAGTCCATCCCACACCAAATATGTGAGGCAAGAGTGTTTCCCCTTCTCATAACCATCCACCACATAATCGTCCTTCCAGTTGGAGACCATGTCGAGCAATCGTGCTTTCAGCTTCTTCTCATACTCACGCTTCACCCGCTCGTTCACTCCTATGGACCACACCATTTTTGATGTAACCAAAAAAAATATTAGATTAATAATTAGTCCAATAATATTAAAATTTTTAAATAATTTAAAACTTTTTAGTAATCACTTACACCAAACATTTTGAACCACGACTTTCTTGTGAGGAGAGGCATCATTTTCCAGTTTGGAGCTGCATCGGGGAAGTAGCCTTTGATACAGTCGGTGATGCTTCCGAGCGACACAATTGTCAACAATTGTCAACCCCAAACCTGAACAAAAAAAATAAAAGTATTAAATTTGTTAATTAATGTTTGTTATAAATAAATAAAAATTAAAAATGAAACATACCAGTAAGTGCTGTCTAGTCGGTCGGGATCTAAGACTGGTAAACCTTCTCTACCTGGCTGAGCGAGAAGATCCTCGACGGTGTACATATAATACGGAGCATCTGGCGGAACTTGCAAATTGGGATGAACCCCGGCCACAGGAGGAGGAGGAAGTACCTCCTCTCGAATATGATGATGTCTAGGTGGTGCAGCAAACGGGGGAACGAGTGGCGAAAACTGAGACTCGGGAATACTCTCTGGAATCAAAGAACCGGGAACTGAAGAAGATGATCCGCCTGTATGAGGACCTGGCTCACGGCCAAACATGCCCCCGTAATGAGTCGTGCCTGTATGAGGACCTGAAGAAGATGATCCGACTGGCCGCTACTGCTTACCCTTAAGCTTTTGCGCTCTAGTCATCTAAAATATTAAAAGATTAAAAAAACATAAATATATTAGTAATTAACATTTAAAAAAACATAATATAAATTCCCGAAACTAAACAACCTAATATAAATTCCCTAAACTAACCATCTAATCTAAATTTTTTATAATACACTTTTTTAAATTTAAAATAAACAAAGTCTCGCAATTTCCTCGTAAAAACGCAGTTTGCTATTTCCTCGTAAACTTCTAGTCCAACTTACAAGGTCTTTACGAGGAAACCAGATAAGCCATGTAGTTTCCTCGTAAAATTACTAGGACTTTACGAGGAAACACTTTTCTCGACATTTTACGAGGAAAGTACGTAAAACCTTAGTTTTCTCGTAAAGTACTCGTAATATCGTCGTAATGTTACGAGGAAACATTTTCATCGTTAATATTCCTAGTTATAAAATTGTTTTCTTGTAGTAGAAGGATTATTTGGGCAGAAGATCTAGACACTTCCCAGTATGTATAAAAAAAAAAAGATGGGAGCGACAGTATGAGCTGTGACCAACGTGGAACATATCTGGATCATATAGCGACCAATGATCTTCCATGTGATATCATTTGACTCTAACTATGATTTCTGACTTCCAAATTAACCTAATTAATGTTAAGTCGCCTTCCCTTCTGGCTACTTTTTCGGATTAATTTAGTGACCCAAGAGGGTAGCTTTAAAGTGAAATTAATGCATTTAATGCTGGAATGTAGCAAATCTAAAATTTTGATGTATAGTGTTAAGTTTTAACTAATGCTTCACCAGTCTATACTCAGATAGATAACGCATAGTCATATTAATTTTAAGTCAAAATACATAATTTCAAGTTAAAATTGATAAAACCTAACACCATAGTCAAATTAATTTTCTAGAGACATAAAACTGTAGTAAGTTTATTAACTTGTGTCAAGTGTCAAAATGTTATATTCTGAAGCATAATGTGATTTACTTTACATTATGCATTGCTCTTTTCAATTTAGGATGTGGCCAAGTCATCCCTCTACCGTAAAACATATTCCAAAGCTCGTAATTGATGTATCAATTAGGATGACAAGGCCATTCCTGATATTCTACCATATAGCATACTCCAAATGTCGTAACTGATGTAACTATTCATACTCAATTCAATTAAGCTGGAGTGGGACATTGTAGGGATTAATGAGTGTACAAACTATCTAAATTATTCGATTATATATATAGTTGATACAATTGAAAAACAAAACATATTTTACAATTTTAATGGTGGGAGATTAGGTGGCTGCTAAGTTGGAAACTGAAATATACAAATCTCCATAGTTTAATTATAAGATTTCGTTGTCTTGCTCCATGAACAAGAATCTTTACCAATCTCGATGTTGCTAAGAGTTTTCTTTTTGCCAAAATGTTACCAAGAGTTGGGGCCTTGGAGATTGGTTTTATATTAACCGCAGTAATTACACTGTTAAAAATGCTAATGGAATAACAATAGACTGTGTCTTATTTGATAATCGATTTATCAAATTCTAACTGGAAAATATAATTAGAGATAGGCCGAGAGTTGCCAAATAGAAGAGCGAACCGACACCCAGTTCAACTTGAAGAATCAGTTTGTTTCTCTCCGACGCACTAATAGACAACTATAGACTCTATTGGCACTGCCCAAATACGGGCTTTAAATAACAGACCTACATAGTCCAATATAAAGAAAGTGTAAAGAATCGGTTTTTGGTCACATTTTCATATTAGTAAGTAGAGATAGCAATTATGGATCTGCACCGCAGGCATAGCCCGTAAAAAACCTATCGCGAGACGGTACTGGAATGAAATTTTTTAAGTCCGTAAATTGTTTTCATTATATTAAAATAAGGTTTCTACAC